TCTTCACTCCTTCAGCAACTCTGCTCTAGGGCCTGGTTTGTTGGCAATGGATCCACAGAGTGCAGTTCACAGTCTACGAAATAATAACACCAACAAGGGTTGGGCGCGGTAGCTCGTGCTTGTAATTCCAGCACTTTGGGAAGCCAAGGCAGATGGATCACCTGAGGTCAGGAGGAGTTCGAGACCAGCCTGGCCAACATGGTAAAACCCTGTCTCTACGAAAAATACAAAAATTAGCCAGTCCTGGTGGCGTGCGCCTGTAGTCTCAGCTACTCAGGAGGCTGAGGCAGGAGAATTGCTTGAACCCAGGAGGCAGAGGTTGCAGTGAGCCAAGATTGTGCCACTGTCCTCCGGCCTGGGCAACAGAGTGAGATTCAGCTAAAAAAAGAAAAAAAACCACCCACAACAACAACAAGAAAGCAGAGTGCACCAAATTCAGGAGATGAGGTCCCTTCCTGCTAAGGAAACAAGGAAGGCTTCTTAGAAGAGGAGACATTTGAGCTGAGTCATAAGACTGGATTAAGTATTAAGTGAATGGGGAGAGGCTATTCTGGAGAACAATGTGATCAGAAGCATGGAAGTGAAAAAGAGAAATTCAGTTTGACTAGAATAGGAAGCAGGAAGTGATAAGACAGGGGCAAGACCACAAAGGCCTTCAATGCTAGACCAATCAAAAACCCAAACCAGGTCTGTCTTCCCTAAGTGTCTGTGCTTGTCCTTAAGTGTCTGTGCTTGTGCTTGAGGAAAAATAAACTCAATCCATTAAGAAATAGACAGCTACTCAAGCAGCCATGGGTGGAACCCACAGACTCATTTGCAATGGGCTGAATGTCTATGTCCCCCTAAAATTCCTATGTCAAGGTGATGGGATTAGGAGGTAGGGCCTTTGGGAGGTGATTCTCATGAGGTGGAACCCTCAGGAATGGGATTAATGCCCTTATAAAGAGGATCCCAGAGAGCTCCCCTTCCACCATATGAGTACCCAGGAAAGTAGGCCCTCAGCAGACACCCAATCAGCCAGCGCCTTGATCTTGGACTTTCCAGCCTCTAAACTGAGAGAAATAAATTTCTATTGTTTATAAACCAACCAGTGTATGGTACTTTGTTATAACAGTCCAAACAGACTAAGACACTCATCAATTGGTTTTCCCTCACCAGCAGCTTCCCTAATTCAACTGTAGGTTTAGTAGGCTTGAGGTGGAAAGTGGCCTCTACTTAATATTTATTTTCTTTTTCCTGAAAAACAGAATAAGTAGCCGGGCGCGGTGGCTCAAGCCTGTAATCCCAGCACTTTGGGAGGCTGAGGCGGGTGGATCACGAGGTCAAGAGATCGAGACCATCCTGGTCAACATGGTGAAACCCCGTCTCTACCAAAAATACAAAAAAAACCATTAGCTGGGCATGGTGG